AGCCTCGTCCATATATACACATAACCACTCCCCTAAACACATACAGCCTTGCCCATATATACACATAACCACTCCCCTAAACACATACAGCCTCGCCCATATATACACATAACCACTTCCCTAAACACATACAGCCTCGCCCATATATACACATACAGCCACTCCCCTAAACACATACAGCCTCGCCCATATATACACATAACCACTCCCCTAAACACATACAGCCTCGTCCATATATACACATAACCACTCCCCTAAACACATACAGCCTTGCCCATATATACACATAACCACTCCCCTAAACACATACAGCCTCGCCCATATATACACATAACCACTTCCCTAAACACATACAGCCTCGCCCATATATACACATACAGCCACTCCCCTAAACACATACAGCCTCGCCCATATATACACATAACCACTCCCCTAAACACATACAGCCTCGCCCATATATACACATAACCACTTCCCTAAACACATACAGCCTCGCCCATATATACACATAACCACTTCCCTAAACACATACAGCCTCGCCCATATATACACATAACCACTCCCCTAAACACATACAGCCTCGCCCATATATACACATAACCACTCCCCTAAACACATACAGCCAATCACTAGCACCATCCCCACACTCCGTTTAGCGGTGCTGACTCCCCAGGGCCTCGCCTGCAAGAATTCTCACCGCTCCTTTCCTATGGAACAGCCTGCCTCCCCCTGTCAGACTCGCCCCTGGTCTTCAATCATTTAAGAAATCCCTCAAAACCCATCTTTCCAGGATTGCTTATGGCCTCCGAGAGTAAGGCTATAATCTCGCTCTCTCCTATAGGGCCACACTCCACTCTCACCTCCAGCTCGGCTAGTTTCCCACCACGTCTATTTGCTGTCTCTCTCAATACCCTTCCTGTTGTGTTTTCATGTTTTTCTGGTAGGTTACTGCGTGGCCTGGATACAGTGCAGTAAGGAGAGCTGCCTAAAGTGGAGGAGGCTGAGAGAAGAGATGGATCCGTCACTTTTAGCTGATGATTGGTCTTGCAAGCAGAATATAGGTATTTTATCACCATGAGCTGTGGAGCTAATTCACAAATTTTAGGTATTTTTCTCCCCTCTGCCTCTTTGTGTGTCACTTCCTCCCACCAATTCCTCTGTGTGGCTGTTTCTCCCCTTCTCGGGACCCTCTGTGTGCCTTTTCTCCCCCAGCCCCTTTGTGTGTCATTCTTCCCCCCCAACGCTTTGCATGTCTCTTTTTGTCCCTTTCCACAGGCTCTCCGTGTCTTTCTCACTTCCCCACTCTCTCTGAGTGTCTCTTTCTCCCCTTACCCAGTCCCTCAGAGTGTCTTTGTCCATTTCCCTCTGGGTGTCTCTTTGTCCCCTTCCCCAGCCCTTTTGTGTGTGTATCCCCTTCTATATCTCTCCATGTAGTGTGGCCAAACGGACTATCTGATCTGACGAGAAGCTGTTTGTTGCTCTAAGTGAGCACCTCCTGTCAGACTGGATGGCCACAGTGTGACTGTGCTGTGCTCTCTGCTCCTGCCAGTCACCCTCACCCAGAGGCCCTGTTGTGGGCCACTCATTAATATGTCAATGCCAACTGGCACATCCCCTGTTCTGTTTCTATATGGCTATTACTTTCTGTGTTACAGATCCTTTGTATAACAGCTGTGCAATTTCAGAGGAAACCTGGTTAGATTGTGATCATGATACCGTGTATGCGCTCTTTATACCTGGGTCAATTGTGTGGGCAAAGCAGCATGGCTACCCATGGTAAGACCGTCACTCAATACCTACTATAATGTGTGATTTACTCTGACACCTATATCAACAGCTTTCGGCCTCTCCCATCTCCCCTCCAAGCTATACTATTGAGAATTTACAGCCTGATACGTCGTATCGCCAATTTGCCACCTCCTTTCTCCTCTCTAAGTGATAAATGTTTCAATGGGACACTAAAGTCACAAACACAACTTTAGCTTAATGAAGCAGTTTTGGTGTACAGATCATGCCACAGAAGTTTCAGTGCTACACTCTCTGAAATTTAGGAGTTAAATCACTTTTGTTTCTATTTATGCAACCCTAGTCATATGTCGTCCTGCATTAAAAAAATCATTCTAACACATGTAGCAGGCAGCTGCAGTCTGTAGCAGGCAATTAACACAACATGACTTCTAAATAAACACCCTGTGCAATAAGGGAAGATAAACAATGTTGACTCTTTTCATAAAGTGTATATGGAGGCGGTGTTGGTCAAAACCAGGAAAGGTGTAGCTAGGGCTTCATAAACAGTAAAAGTAGTGATTTAACTCCTAAATGGCAAAGAATTGAGCAGTGCCATAATCTATACAATGAAACCACTTGATTTAAGCTAAAGTTGTTTTGATGCTTTGCGTATCCCTTTAAGGGCTTTCAGTCCATACAATATATCATACCCTCCTCTCCATTCTACCCTACATTCTATTTATATTAGGGTCTTACATATGTCTATCTTAACACAATCAATACTGACTTACTGTCACAGGTTTAACTAACGTTGTTATTTATTCAATCTATAGGTGGCCAGCAATAGTTGATTATGACCCGGACATAGCAGAATATTTTTTGTTTGAAAATTCAGCTGATCAGTTTCCCGTAAGTTGGAGAAACACTGACTCGCACTGAAGTAGTGCGTTGTTGAAACTATTGATTGTTAATGTATTGTATTTTATAGAATTCACAGTCTATATCTTTGTTTTAATAAGCTTTCCAAATGATTCAATAATATTACAAAAACTGTCCAAATAAGTCAATACTATTAGAGAAACCGTCCAAATGGTTCAATACTCTCTCCCCTTTCATTATTTTGTCCTGTGGTTGGGGTGCGAGACTGACGGTCTCTGCTCCCTGCAGGACACTCTGCCGCTGGGGAGGAAGGACGGCACCTTCAGCTCCCTGGGGTACACACTGCCGCTGGGGAGGAAGGACTGCACGTTCAGCTCCCTGGGGTACACACTGCCGCTGGGGAGGAAGGACTGCACCTTCAGCTCCCTGGGGTACACACTGCAGCTGGGGAGGAAGGACGGCACCTTCAGCTCCCTGGGGTACACACTGCCGCTGGGGAGGAAGGACGGCACCTTCAGCTCCCTGGGGTACACACTGCCGCTGGGGAGGAAGGACTGCACCTTCAGCTCCCTGGGATACACACTGCCGCTGGGGAGGAAGGACGGCACCTTCAGCTCCCTGGGGTACACACTGCTGCTGGGGAGGAAGGACTGCACCTTCAGCTCCCTGGGATATACACTGCCGCTGGGGAGGAAGGACGGCACCTTCAGCTCCCTGGGGTACACACTGCTGCTGGGGAGGAAGGCCGGCACCTTCAGCTCCCTGGGACACACACTGCCGCTGGGGAGGAAGTACAGCACCTTCAGCTCCCTGGGATACATACTGCCGCTGGGGATCTGGGCTGACTGCCCAGCATCCCTGTAGGGCCTGTAGCGAGACCTCGGTCCCATCCCCACCTGCCAGCTGGGTGTCTTCCCAGGACAAGTCAATAAGGTCTTCCATCTCTGGGGCTGGTTGGGACATATGTGGTACAGTACCAAAGTCTCCTGATAACAGGCTTGGTTGCTGGGGAGGAGGAACTAAACTCAATGCTTGCGGTGGTATACAGTCACTAAGCCCCATCATGTCAAAGACAGGCGGTGTTATACGTTGGAATAAGCAAACATAATCCTGTTCTAGTTCCCACTCTTGGTTGGCAAGAAAAGATAGATCTGGCTGAATGGCATCGATCTCTGTAAGGTCCCAGTTGTCTGCCCGCTCAGCTCGGATGGACCAGAAGCGAGCAATGTCGGTGTCTCCGAACCAGAGACTAGTTTCAATAGTATCCCCCAACAAACCAGGGCCGTCGTAGTCTTCCCCCTCAATACACTTGTACTCAATCAGCCATGGGTAGAGGTGGTAAACATGCCACCGCAGGGCCCGATAGGAATCATCCAGCCACACCTCAGTCTCAACTAGCGTCTCAGGTTCGCTTACCCATTCCTCTGAGGGCTTGTTTCCCAATAACGGCATCCGCAGCTCTAGTTGTTCTGCTTGGCGCTGGTTAGTGGTCAGGATTTCCTCGCACCGGAAGGGTCGAATTTCGTCGATGTCCTCCTTCCAGAGATCGGTACGAAGCGCCACCCTCCACTCTGTCTCTCTTTCCTCTGGGATAGGATACTCCATACTGCGCATCACATCCTGTAGTCGCTGCTGGAGCCTGGCGTCAAAGTGAGATACTGCACGGCCTTCCATCTCTGAAGTAGTGCTGGTTTTCCCAAATCTTTATGTAGACAGGGACGCTGTATGAACACTAGCGTCACCTTCAATTTGTAAATCCACGAACTGTGTCTCTGAGCTGCTTTACCTCGCACTAGGACGCCATCCCACCGCTGCCACCAATGTAACGGATCGCCTGGCACCCCGACTGGGTACCTCCGTTGAAGGATGCTCCTAGCGCTTCCTGAGGACTCCAAGCACTCTGGCAGACACCACAATCACCGAACCGGAGAAACAAATAAATTCTCCCAAGCATATGAATGCTGTAGACAGTTGAATAGGAGCCATACGAATAGGTTTACTCTCCTAGCAGTCAAACTGGAACAGCATACAGTAAATCCTTCCCCCAATAATGAGACGACACTTCACTTTGAGGGTTAAAACAGGAACTCCCTGTACTGTCACATACAGTCTCTTTTATTCCCAATCCACAAACATAGTACAGCCCACAGGGCGTTACAAAACAACCAATCAATCCGTACAATACACCCAGACACTCCCACACAAAATCCTCCCCTCTGCAGGTGATATGATTACTGAACACAATGGGTAATCTCATTATCACCGGCAGAGGAATACAGTTTTTACACAATATTTATAACTTCTAAAATATACATGTCACAAACATAAAACATACATTTTCATAATCAATCCATTCAGGGAACAACATATTAAAAAATGGCACGAATCAGACCAGGGGTTCAAAAGTTAAGGGAAAGTCCTTTGTGACTAAATGAAGCATGGCTTTCCGGCCCAAACCAGTTTCAGAGTCTTCTATCCTGGAGATAAGTAATTCAATTATCTCCCAGGACAGACACAAGACTCCATTAAGCACATGGTTGCAAAAAGACACAAAACACTTTAAAATACATAAAGTCACATTTACACATAACACACAGACATTTCACATATCCCCAGATAGCTGGGATCTGAGTGCACATTATTAGATGAATGGCACTCAGATCACACAAATAAGCCTTTCTGCAGGGGAAATAAACGGTTTAACCTGCAGGGCCATAGTCCAAAGGGAGCAGGCGAGCAACCAGGCTTCTCCAGTTCACAGTGGCGAGGTTAGTTTCACCACAAATACTATTCGTTAAACCGTCTAAATGATTTAATACTATTAGAGAAACCGTCCAAATGGTTTAATACTATTAGAAAAAACATCCAAATGATTTAATACTATTAGAGAAACCGTCCAAATGATTTAATACTATTAGAGAAACCGTCCAAATGGTTCAATACTATTAGAAATAACGCCCAAATGATTTAATTACAGAAGTCACAATTATAGTCTATGACACGTTTTGTAGATAAATCATTTGGAACGTTTTTCACGCAGTACATATTACATATACATATTAAAGCTTATTCAATCGAGGTTTGTGTATTCTAAATAAGCTGCAAGCATTTCCCAGATATTTTGCCAACATGGAACCTTTAGTAGAAAGGTCAGTCATTCATTTCTGGAGGAACATCTTAGCAACTGAAGGAAAGCTGTCTAACTGTGCAAGTCAGCCACAGGGAGATACAGGAGAGTGACTCTCACTATGTGAAAATAATGCTAGTCACAATAAGCCCTTCCCAGGTATTAAAAAATAAAAATAAAATTTAAATAAAACAAATTGCTCACCTTTCTTCAGCACTGAGTCTACCTCAGCACAGCCGCGATCATCTTCTCGAGTGGCATCATCCTGGAAGTGTCCAATTGAATGTTCCTCATTGAGGAGAGTAGGAGACCTTAGGTGCATGTGCAGCGTTTGCTGTAATGGGCCTAAGATTCTGTCATACTATAATGATTAGGTAAGTAAGATTCCCTGTGCTCATACCCAGAGGTCTTGGATGCGTAGCTCGATGCCAAGCCTCCTAATTAGTGAAATAAAGAGTTTAGGGGTCAGGAGACGGGATAGGACTGCAGGCACTATAACAACTTTAAAAAGTTAAAGTACCTACAGTGTTCCTTTAATGGGTTACTCTAACCCTTTGTGTAAACTATGTTTGTAATTTGAAATTCTCCTTTTACCTACCATACTATACCTGTGCCCAAGGAAGGCACAATATTAGTAGTATGCATCAAGTTAAAGAATCCGTTTTTTTATTTGAATTATTGACTTAGATATGCACAAAGGTATATCACTAGCATATATCTAAAACAAGAAACAAATAAAGGATTCAGGTTTCAGAGTTATCTCCTGTTGGAGCAAAGATTTCATGTCAGTTAACAACTGTCAGGGTGGTGGTCCGGTGACCGGGACCCAGACACCGTCTGGGCGGCGGTCAGACGGCCGGGACCCAGTATGCCTGATGTTGAAATTAAAGTAGGAGTCACAGTGTGGAAGTGGATTAGCAGGGTCTGGTGCAGGTTAACCGCACGCCCCCTGGTGTTGAGCACCAGCGTTTGTGCGGCCACATACCAGGACCCTGATGGAGCTTGGAAATAAGCAGACCTCCCAGGAGCTGAATAGGAAGGCTCAGCAGCAGGAATGTATCCAGTACAGAAACAAGGCAAGACTAGGATAGGCACCAAACATGAAAACAAGACAGAAGTAGTAGAACCCAGAACCAGAGAAGGATAGAAAGCTGAACCTGGAACATGTACCCAATACACTAGGGGAACATAGACCTAACATGGGCAGGACAGGACTGTACATGGACTGGGAACACAAAATAAAACAAGACAAGATATAATATAAAATATACATACATTTTCTTTTGGTCCTATTAGGATTATATTATTATAATATTTCAAGTTACATGATACCAGGTTGCTTTATCATCTCTTATTAAACTTTAATTTATCAAGCTCTGGTAAGAATTTAGATATCAACTTTTCAGTGAATATAATGCCCATGCCTTTGGAATTAAGAATGTGGATATAACCTAGAAAAAAATAATAATATATATATATATATTCTCCATCTATCATACATTATATATTATACATATTTATCCTTATCATTTTTTTTCAGTTAAGGGATTTATTCGACATTTGATTTGCAGAACCACAGAGAGTAGCTCTGGTAACATCACATTAAATCCTGGCTCTCCGTTTCTTTCCAGTGGTTTCCTGCAAACTAACTTTGACTGGTTTTACTAGCAGATTGCTAGCACTATGTGGTTGTATAATAAAATCTAAATTATTTTGATTTGTCAACCATAATAGTTTGGCAATTTTTAGGAGTTATTCCACAGAGCTTCTAACAAACAACATATAATAAATAAAATTGTATCCATCTTACTGTACACTATTCTGTATCTTTTGGAAATTATGATAGAGACACAGTAACTCTGTATCTTATTATATTGTTTTTGTTACTTTATATAGAAGTTTCCATTTTCACTGTGTAACATGCAGGGATTTTACCCTGAAATTATTTAAGCCCCAAGGGTTAACTGGACGCCAGATGCCAACATTAAGATAGTATATCGCCTATATGTTTCATTGGCAATCTCTCGTTTTGATTTCGGATTCTAAAACTGCATCTGTGCAGCCTCCGTCCTTCTGACGTCATGAATTTGGGCGTGGCTTAATGACGCACCATTTCCGAGGCGTGTCCCATCCCTTTAAAAGACCGGGCGGACACCCGCCATGGAAATTCTCTTGACAAAGACGCCTTAGAGCGCCGAAACGCGCGTCGAGTTAGACGTTTTCTTTTTAATCAGGTTAGGTCTCGGATGCAGCCTTAGATGCTTCTAATACGTAGGGGATTACTTTAGTTTACTAATTTAGCTTCAGTATTGGCTTAACCATTAACAGCAGCCTCTTAGATAGGAAGACTACTACCTTACTTTCCATTAATTTGTGTTAATATCTATTCAGGCATTATTCTGTTTGGTAGCGATCTCTGGCATTTATTGAGGCAGCTTGATTGTGTCAAGTACTTATCTGGGTAGATTAGTGTAGCTTGGGAACTACACTTTGAACATTTACTTAGCACCGAATATAATCGTATATCTTCCTTTAGATCTATGTTCCACCTGAGATTAGTGTGGATTTGGACCAATTAAGGCAGCGTGTTAGTTTTAGCCTGCCTGTAAGCTGATTCTGAGCGATTATATTTTGAGGATCCGTTGTTTTAGGATTCCATATTGGGTTTACCGTATGCATCAATACTGAGGTATATATTTAATATTATCATATATTAGGTTTACTATATGTGTTAATACTGAAGAATATATCTGAAATTATTGCAAGTGACCTTGCTCTATCCTCGCATGTATGTCGCTACGGTTGCCCTAGTAACCTATCCTCTAAATAGCACTACCGGCACTATTATTTAAAAAACAGCAATCAGTTTTATCTCTTCCGTTAAAATCTTCTATTTAGAACCACAAGTGAGGAGAGATTATCTTAACATGGTCCTAATCTATTTATTATGAGCTGAACACATACAGGATATAGCGTCCTGTTTTTTTGCTTTGCACTTGGAGTCTCTTACTATTTAGACAAAGTGCTGTCTACTATTAGCTATTAACTTTTGATAGGATGTCCCCAAACAGATGACATCTTTGTTGATGTATTGACTGTATAAGTCAACTTACTATTATTGACTAACAGTGACTTTGGTATATACACACAAGAGACTATATATAGGCTGCATCAAGCCTTTCTTTTTTAACATGACAAGCACGTTTGATTTTTGCGTTTCACTACCATTATTTATATATCTATATCTTTTCTTTTTATTTCTGGTTTAGATACATTCAGAGACATTACTAAATAAAACTTAATAAAGATATACTAAAGGATTTTAATTTATATTCTAAGCCTTGGGCCCCATGAGTCACTTTTATCGCTGTGGGTATACCTGGGGGGACTCCTAGAGAAACAGCAGTTTGTCCTTTACTCTCTGTCCTCTGAGGAATTTTTTCTCTTATGTAAGATATAATATAGTAGGCAAAACAAGAGGAGAAATAACTAAGTACTATATATGAAAACTATGGGGCTTTAGTTACATTATATGATCATACATTGCATAAGCCTGCCACAACGCCAATGTACCCCATATTCGGCAGGTCCTATTCTAACTGCCTAATGTTCGCTAAATGAACCATAATAAAACATACACAGCACTTACCTTCAAGAAAAGGCAGGGGACTTGAGCAACTGCCTGCAGGAACCAACTTAAACAAAAGGAATCACGGGTGTGGCAACAAAAACCAAACATTTAAAGGAATCCAAGAGACTGGGAATTCCAGGAACGGAATACAGGAATGAACCCAGAAAACCAGACATAGAATAGAAAACCAGAAACATCCAAGAATAGTAAAAAGAGTACTGGATACCAGAAGCCATAGCCAGAATGATCCGTAGCTAGGAACAGGATGTGACAACAACAGAGTGTTACTAATATAGACTTCTCTTCACACCAAGGTCCACCGCATGTATGAATCACGGCAGAATACAAAATATATAATACAATAATACAGATATTGAGCGCACCTTAATGGGGTACGAGACTTGGAAATAGGTTAGCAAATTTTCCACATTTAGTTAAAGTAAATGGGTAGGTGTTTGCAATTCATCACGCTAAACTAATGAAAAGAATAAACATAGAAATGTAGAATGTGACGGGAAATAAAATCCATTTGGCCCATCTAGTCTGCCCAATAAGCATAACATAGCAAAACATATTAAAATAACCCCCAAAATCATAACCTAATCACAACCCCCCCAAAATTATAACCTTGTATGTACGTAGTGGGGAATCGCGATGCAGCATAATACATAAACCAACCTAATTCAACCCCCTTTCTAAAATAATGATAGACAACATACTGTAGTAAGGATGAAACAGGCCACATCATTTATTATAAATACTGTATGACACATCCATAATTTATTTAATAATTTCTCTTCTTTTCTGTAACCCAAACGTTAAACACAAATAACCATAACTTAACATATATATGCATTTAACTTTAACACATAGTGTCATACAGTGAACCCAACGGTCCTTGGCAATAAACTGACCATGCGCTTAAGTACCACTTCCTCTCACCTCCCCACTCGTCATAAAAATCATTTCTTTCCAGTGGCTGCCACCAGCCTACCTTATCCACGCTCGATGGGCACGACATCCCAGGTAACCTAAGGTAAACCCTTTTAAGCAGGGGAGGTTGAGATCTTAAAACGTATTCATCTCATTCCATACACTTAAACGTAACCCCTCAAATTCAATTGGCAAGGACATACCCCCGGCCACAACCCCACTGTTTTATGACTAAAATCAGCGGGGGACCCCACCAAAACCATCCATGGCCTGTTCCACCACTTCTTGCAGAGCGAGATTAATAGAGCCTAGTCCGACCTCTAGCAAGCACACCCCATCCCCTCGAGATAACTAGGCCACGTCCCGCTCAGAACCCTAAGGCGTGACATGTCCAGTGAACGGGCGATAACTTCAGCACAGACCCTGTGAACATCTGGGAAGAAAACAGAATGCGTGACATGTCCAGATTTAAGGTCAGCACAAATCCCAAACAAGCACCGAACCCAGCTCAGATGGATGACAAACCCACGGGACCTCCAGGAGGTGGGACAACTGACCCAGGTCGGGGAGGAGCCACACCCCTTCAAGTATCTGGTGCCAGACCACCGAACCTCCACTCGCCCCCCGGGCCAGACTGCCTCCAGTCTCCTGGCCTAAATGACATAGGAGCATCCCACCATCCCTATTCCGGGAAGAACCTTAACTGCGGAGAGAAATCAACTCCGGAGACTGGCAGGGTGAACCTACCACCCTGACTCCCACCATCCGAGCATCTGTAGCCACCCCTAACCGGAATGAATGTCCCCTGAACTCCCCACTATCATTACCAAGGAATTTGAGCCCCAAGTGGAACACCCCACCGAAATGGAAGCAGGAGAGAAAACCTGTCTTTGAAAACCCAACAAGGGATGAGGATGCCAAATAATCCAGGGGACGGAATAGCACTCACCTAAGGAAAGCAGGACAAATGTCGGAACCCGGCACCGCCCCCAATCGGAACGGTATATATTAGACTATTCTAGAAAATAGTAATCATGTCATGAGCCCGACCATTACTCTGTTCATTCCATCTACCTCAGGAGAATGTGAAAGGGCCAAGTTATGTCAACCTTGCTGGGAATGAACCCGCAATGTCCAAGGATTGAACAGATTCTATTGATGAATCAGCCAACCGCTACCAACGTACCCTTCCCAAAGACAACAGCTGCCGAGCGACGAAACCTGAAGGAAGTCCGTTCCAATGCTTACTCAACCCCACCAAAAAAAACCTTCACCTGCAGATGACCGTAACTTGAATGGGAAGCCGAGCCCTGCAAATCGAACAACTCACTCTGGAGGCCTACTACCCAGCCCCCAACGCCCCTAAGAGACGGAACAAAACATGTAGATGGGCAGTCTAATCCTGGAACCCCCTGAGGTAATGTTCCCATCCGATCACTCACACCTTACTGTAGCGGGCCCCACGCCACCTCAGAGATCGACCCACAAATCAGCTTCATCAGTCCGCTAGACCAAGTGACCACATCTCCACTGCCTTATAATTTGGCCCTGTGGAGCCCCTGCCCGAAGTACGTCCCACCGTGACGAGATGGAGCCTCGGCCATGATGTTGTTAACCCCCGGGGAAACAACCCTGCCTGACCAGACACATCCAGACTCAAACCGCGCCGAGCCAGGTGCCGCAACCAGAGTACCACCGGGGTAGAGGATACTGTCACATGATAGACAGCCTGCACCACCCCAAGATTGTCGCAATGGAAGCACTACCCACCCGTTCTTGATTTGGGTCCCCCACGCCTACTATGCCACCAGAATGGGGAAAAGCTCCAAGACAGCCAGAGTCTGCAAGAGCCCCAATGCTTGCCAGATTACTGGGCAAGAGTCAGCACACCATTGGGAGCCCAAAATGGCCTCAACCTCCCCAACCTGCTGCAGCGGTATACAGGCGGAAGTCAGTGGAAGGGACCTATGGGGGCTACCTGCACAAGCTACCGTTATGGGAGGCCAAGAAGGAACCCCATACAGCCCCAAGGGCAACACCAACATGCAAAGCCCAGCTTACCCAGGAGAGCCCACGGGTAGCGCAGCTGAATCCCAAATCGCCCCCAAAACCACCGACACCTCCCGCCTGATGTCTTTTTTTTTTTTTTTTTTTCAATTTTTCTTTATTTCCGAAAAGATAAGTTTATGGGATACAGAAAAAAGAAATAGGTGGCATTCAATGTATACATAATGGGGTCATATAACAGTTCGTGCGGTTAATCATATCATATTTGTTCTGTAGAGATAAGACTGCATGTTCCTTGGAGCGATTTTAATAATATACGAACTCCTGTATCAGTTAATCGGATACGGGGCAGTCTCTGTCATAAGTCATCAGAAAGATCAGTACATAACTTAGGTCGGCAACAAGCCATGGGTGGAAACATGGAACATGGGAAGGGGATAGGGGCTAGGGGTGTCCTGCCTCTTACATTATCATAATATGGTAGTGAGTATGCCTTGAAAGGTGTCTACCATGGTGGCTCAAGATGGGGCTGTAAGTCGCTAGTACGTCAAGGCCTTCGGTGTTCTAATCTAAGGGCGTCTGGGTCCTTTGTCCTCCTAAGGGCTTTCCCCAGAATTCCGTCCAGGGTCTCCATCTTTGGAGGTGGATGTGTCTTTTCCCCATCAGTGACCAGTGTATATCCTCCATGCATCTTGTGTGTTCCACCCTCTGTACACACTGTTCTTTGGAAGGCGTGGTGGTGGTCCGCCAGTGTAGTGGAATAAGAGCATTGGCTTCCCCTAGTAAGAGTTGTAGTAACTGTTGTTTGTGAGGTTCTGAAAATGTGCGGGGCCAGCCTAGTAGAACCTGTGATGGGGATAGGTGTGATGGTGGTTTTAGTATTCCTGTGATGGTTGAGAGTATGAGAGACCAGAAACCCTGAATGTCTCTGCAACTCCACCATATGTGCTCCATGTCACCGCGGCCATTAGAGCATCTCCAGCATGAACCACTGATGGATGGCCAGATTGAGTGTAACTTATCTGGGGTTCTATACCATCGGGTGACCCTTTTATAAAATGCTTCCTTGTGTGCTACGCTAAGCGGAGTTTTGATGCCTGTTTCTAAGATATCCGACCAATCTTTGTCAGAAACATGTATACGGAGGTCTTTCATCCATTTCTGTTGGAATGGTAAAGTTTTGAGTTCCCTTTCAGAGTCTTGCAGAATGTGGTAGATTTTAGATAGGGGGCGTTTTGGGTCCCCCTCTGGGCCACAAAGAGTCTCAAAGTGTGTGTCTGTTCTCTGTCTCCAGTAAGGTATGACCGTTCTTCTCATGAAGGTCTTAAGTTGCGCTCTTCCTATTACCTCAATGAGTGTATCTTGCCTACGTGGATTGCTTATTGTCTGAATAATGGGTGGGTCTCCCACAATCAATTCTGTTATCTTTGGGGTGGGGGTGTCTAGGAGGCGGGCAAGGAGAGGGCCCCCGTGACCCCCTTGAAAGTCAGGATTGGTCGCTATCGGGAAGAATCTCGATAAGCCAGGTGATAGGCCCCATATATCTTTATACTTTCTCCATAGAGTAAGGATGTTATGTATTAATGGGTGTCTCGTAGGGGTGAGCGCTGTGGGGTGGCAAGTTTGCCAGGGCAGGGAATTTAGTGGGACAGGTACAAAGCTCTGTTCCAGGGAGTACCACGATTTGACCCTGGTGGTGTCAGTCCACTCTTTCAATCGAGTGAGCAACACCGCTATATAGTACTTATAGAGGTGGGGTAGTCCCAGTCCACCTCTGCCTGCAGTAGAGGTCAATGTAGTGTAGGCAATTCTCGCTGGTTTATTGCCCCAGATGTATTTGGTAAAGCACGTGCGTGTCTGTGCAAAGAACGAACCTGGGAGTGGGATAGGTAACGCCTGGAATGTGTATAATATTTTCGGAAGGACCATCATCTTGATGATGTTAATCCGCCCTAGCAAGGAGAAATGGGGTAGATCCCATTTTTGGAGGTCTCGTTTGATGCCGTCTAGGAGAGGGGGGTAATTAAGTTTGTATAAACTGTTGGCGGAGCAAGCTAGCTTTATTCCCAAGTAAGTCAGTCCTGCCCGGGTCCAAGGGAACGGTGCATCCGTTGGAGCCGTGTTTGTAGGGTTGGGGGTACTGAGATCCCCAGGATCTCGCACTTGTCTGCGTTGATCTTAAAATTGGAAAGGGCGCTAAAGGTTTGGATCTCTGAATTAATTCGTGGTAATGTGGTGGTGGGATCTGTGATCGAGAAAAGGATATCATCCGCGAAGGCTGATACCCTCACTTCCCCTCCCCGGTGGCTTTATTTTGCTGTGTTTCCTGATTGCATTCAGGAAAGGTTCCATGGCCAAGACAAATAAAAGGGGCGACAGAGGGCAGCCCTGCCGAGTGCCGTTGCTTATTGGGAACGGGGTGGAGAATTGACCATTTATCCTGACGTTGGCCGAGGGTCCCCTGTATAGGGTTTGAATCCAATTTCTTAGCCTAGGGCCCACTCCCAAGACCTCCAAGACCATGAACAAATACGTCCAGTCCACCCTGTCAAAGGCCTTTTCGGCGTCTATTGCCATCAGTAGGGTCGGTGTCCTGTTCACCTGCACCCCATGAATGATATTTAGGATTTTCGTGGGGTTATCCCGAGCTTCGCGTCCGGGCACAAAGCCCGCCTGGTCTGGGTGGACTAGACTGGGTAGAAGAGGCTTGAGTCTATTGGCGATCATTTTCGCCATTAGTTTTAGGTCCAGGTTTATGAGCGATATGGGTCTATAGCTACCGCACCTTGTGGGGTCCTTGCCTGGCTTGGGGGTGGCAGTGTGGAGTCAAGGGCGAGGCCGTTCAGCGTGTGTAGGAAGTGGGGTTCTAGTTCTTGTGCCAGGGTTCGGTAGTATCTGGCTGTTAGTCCGTCTGGACCGGGGCTTTTACCGTTCGGGAGTGTTTTAATTGTGGAGAGTAATTCTGCGTGTGTGAAAGGTTCGTCGAGTGCATGGCTCCGGTCTACTGGGATCTTGCAAGATATGTTGTCAGAGATATGGTCCCTCAGGGTATGTGGTTGTGTCTTCGGGGGGGTCAGGTTATAAAGGTCAGCGTAAAAAGTGGTGAACGCTTTGGCTATGTCTTCCGTGGTGTTGTGCTGTCTGCCTGAATCTCCTACTATTTTATTTATGAATGACTTTTGCTGTTTGGCTTTCAAGACTCTAGCCAAGAGTTTCCCACTCTTATTGCCTTGTGCATAAAACGTACCCCTTGTCAGTTGGATAGATCTGTATGCCCTAGCAGTCAGTAGGGTTCTGAATTCGAGTCGTAGGGCTGTTAACTTTTGAAGGTTATCGTTTGTGGGATCTTGTTTGTGGATGGTCTCAGCTGTTGTTATATCTGCTGTGAGCGCCTCTAGTTTGTGTGTCCTTTCTTTCTTAAGTCGAGCGCCCCATTTAATAAGTATACCCCTGATGACTCCCTTGTGGGCTTACCAAACCCAGGGATCTGACACCTCAGTGCCGCTATTCTCCATAAAGTAGGTCGCTACAGTCTGCCGCAAATCCTCTAATACCCTTTGATCATCTAGTAGGGTTTCGTTCAAGCGCCACTGTGTGAGAGTTAAGAGGATCGGGGCATGATCCGACCACGTAATGTTACCTATGGATGCGTCATGGACCATGGGGAGGTGTCTATGGCTGATCAGGAACATATCTATTCTGGAATAACTTTTGGCTGTTTGAGAGTAGTACGAATAGTCTCTGCCTTGGGGGTGCATGATCCGCCAGCAGTCAGATAATTGGTGGGTGTGTAGTATGTTAGAGAACATCCTCCTTTGATGTCGTCTGGTGTCTGTAATGGTAGAGGAGCTGTCGATTGAGTGTTCAAGAACCATATTCCAGTCTCCGCCCACTACCACTACTCCCTCAGCAAATGTATCTAACTTGGTCAGACATGATCGTATATAGGAGACTTGGTCTGCATTAGGGACATATATGCAAGCTAGAGTTACTAAGGTGCCATTGTACATTCCTTTCACAAAAACAAATCTGCCTCTAGGATCAATTCTAACTCCCATTTCCGTGAAAGCAGCAGTAGAGGCTATGAGTATTGCAACACCTCTGGATTTCTTTTGGGTGTTGTTACTGTAGTATGCTAAATTACTACGTTTGTAGTGGATTCTTGGTTTAAACTCCCTCCTGAAGTGGGTCTCCTGTATGAAAATTATTTCGGCATCCCGTCTATCAATCTCCTGTGCTAGCATTGTGCGTTTCATGGGGGAATTGAGACCCCTAATGTTTAGGGACATCAGTTTAGTTTGAGTCATGGTGGCAAATACGATGGCAAGAAGTTCTCAAATAGGGCAAGGAGGTCACCTGTAGGCAGTGTCTTCAGTAAGATGGTGATGGCAGGGGTGTTTGGGGGTAATTGGACGGGGAATAACCATGAACTATTTACAGTAAAACAATATGTGAGAGTCATCTCGGGCGGTGAGATTGGCGCTACACTTGTGGATAACTCTCCGTGTCCACAAGTGGGCCGCCTGATGTCTTAAACCGCAGTCAAGGGCAACTGATGTTCCCCTGCCCTGGGATCGACCCCGCTGTCCATGAAACTACAGCACGTATCCCGACCCACGGTTACGTCCTGGGCAAGTCCGAAACGCTGAAACGCTACCCCAAGAAAACACCACGGCAGCAAAGCGTGGATGTGTGACACTGTCGGCCCCACACACGTGACATTGGGAGCAACCCGTGCGGAGGCACATAGCCACGTAACACTGACTGTCAGAAATACAGCCTGGAAAACAATAACCCGCTGGGCGCATCGGCAGCAGCGGAAAGCCGATTCCACAGCTGCCTTTGTCAGCAAGGCCCCAAAGCCCTGCAGCCCTGACCATGCAGACCGTTGCATCATGCCATCCAATACCTAACCCCTTGAAGGGAACGACAACTGATTAAATAAGGAATCAGGCGATATTGACCCCACCCCTCTATGGGTACCATATCCCAAGGGGGGATCCACAGAGTGGACTTCGGGGCACCCTAAAATTGGTCGGGAGGTAAACTTACCAAGCTTTCCTGGTAAGCCGCTCCCGCACCACCCGATGGAAGTCTCATATGGACCGAAAGGTCCTGCTCGGAGAGCACACACGTCCCCTATCCCGACAGATTGCCCTCATGGAACTGCGGGAGACTGGATTGGCCCCCTGCAACCGGAGCCCTCGTGCTTCAATGGCACGAGGACCCCACTTACTGTGACAGTCGGTGAATTCCCAACCACAGCCTAGCCTCCGGCTGGGGGCCAGTGAGGAGGAGGGTGTGTTCCCCTCTCCCCCGACCCCCTTCCCCCCAATAAAGAACAAAAACATGCCGTGCTGAGACACCGGGCAAGCCATAAAGGAAAAACCAGAGGCTTAAGTCCATCTGGTCCCAGGCCAAGAAGGGTCGCACCACCAAACGTTGACAAAATTGCAAGACGTACCTCCACCAACCCAGCTCACCCTAGGGACGACACGCATCCCAGAGAGTGTCCTGACAGCAGAACAACATGGAGCAAACTCGGGGAGCCCTCTCCCCAACGATGCTATCCAGAACATACGATACCCAGACATAATTCCCGCGCGTCATGTGGTGTTACCGATTACGGTATTTGTTCCACGTCCCTCCCGTCCCTCTCAAGCAAGGGGCCCCCAGCGGTATGAGGGAACATTTCTCTTATAAAAACCCCTTCTCCAATCTGCTCCCTAGTATTTTGCGACATGCGCAAGCCAAGCGGGCCATACTAGCGTACATCTGCAGCATCCTGAGGCACCGGAATCGCCCGCCTTCTTGGAGGCAACGCCAGCGCTATTAGCTGTGCAGGATGCTGCAGGAAACTGTACTATAACATATGATAAATATTGATAATGGGGGGGGGCGCTGAATAACCAGAGTGGGCTCCCTGGTAAGCGCGCCCATGTACTGTTTTTTCTTCTTCTTCTTTTTTTTTTTTTTAACTGTATGAATTTTATTTTTCACTTTATTTATTCATTCAAATTTTTTTTTTTACCGCGCTAAGATCCCCCCTGCCCCCCCCAAGATCTAAAGGAACTCAACAGGATAAAAGAAGGAACAACGTACACACTAGCCAATGCCCGGTGTACCGACCGCGGCATAACAAGCATAGAGGTCCAGGCAGAATCGTGTTCTTCCAAGGTGTTCCAGGTGCCACCTGCTGGGCATTTCTATGAACTGCAGCCAGGACCTGTGAGGGTATGGCATGGAGAGGACGTTAGCCCACGCTCCACCAGGAGGCAGCCGAGGTAAGTAACCAGCAGAGAGAACAGAAGGCAGAGAAGACCCAAAAGGGAAAGGAAAGGGGGAGGAGGGAGGACACAAAGGAGAGGAACAGAGAGAGGGGAAAGGGGGAGAGAACAGAGAGAAGGGAAGAGGGGGGATAACAGAGAGAAGGGAAGGGGGGGGGGAGAACAGAGGGGCCAACAGCAACAAAAGGAAACAGGGGGACACCGGGGGAGGAGTTGAGGGCCCCCCCCCCGAAAAAGCAAAGAAGGAGGGCTCTGGGACCAGAACAGCATAAGGAGAGGGAAGGGAGGAAAACTGAAAGGGGGCGGGGGGGTTGCAGGGGAGAGAGACCACCCCCAGGGCGCCATTCTCACTGGCAGAGAAGGCCCCAGCCCAGAAGAGGTCCCCACCCACCCCCAACTGCAGTACATTAGTCCCTGCGTGGCCCCAAAGGGCCAACTCACCGCTGGGGCCCCTGTCACAGCCATCGCGCCAGCCATGCGGTGGTTTCAGAAGGCTGCTGGACGGCCACACAAGTTGTGGGACGCGCCGTCCGCCTCCTAC